GTTTGACCACTGATTGAGAAAATGTCTTATAGCTGATCTCGGGGACGCACTCTGATGACTTCAGACTGTGTCAGGTTGACACAAAACAAGCCAGTACACCTTGTTTCCCCTGAATGACTTTGTTTTGTTTAAATTTCTATTTAGAATTCTTTATGTTGTTGTTGTTGCTGTATATGTGTGTGTGTGTGTGTATGTATGTATGTGTGCGCACGCATGAGTGTGTACATGTATGCAGACATGTGCCATGGCCTGTATGTGGAGCTCAAAGGTCAGTTTGAAGGAATTGTTTTTCTACTCTCTATGTGGATTTTTAGATTGAACTCATGTTGCCAGACTTATCCTGTACTGAGCCATCTTGAAGACCCTGGCTTTGTTTTATTTAAAGATCTCGGTGAACCAGTCTGAGAAAACTCTCTCACGTCAGCAGGAATGACCTGTGTACTTCTCCTTACCTCAACCAAAGCCAAGAAACAGAATTCTCATTTTTTTTTTACCATGTTTCTACTGAAGGAGCCATGATGGACCCTTAAAGGGATGCCACATATGAAAGAAGTGGACCCTGTCAGTCAGCAGGCTTCAGAACAACACCAAGGTACACATTTTAGCCCTGACATGACAGAACACTTATCTTAGATACTGTAGCTTTAGGGTCCTCTTCTGAGCCTGGCCTTCTTATCTTTACACAGATAATGCTTTCCTTTTTGGACTATTACTGTGGAGACCACATGAAGAAGAGCACTTTAAATGCTACAGAAATAGTCATGGGTGTTTTTTCCTTTTCTTTTCTTTTTTCTTTTTGTCAAATAGTATGATGATGCTTCTACGCCTTTCCAGTCAATGTCTTTCTCCACCAGCATCTTTGGCTCGGTGCTTTAATATTAGAGAATCATCATAAGCACTTAATTTTGTGTTGCACTCACTGGCAGTTTTATAAAGAAATGGTTAAATAAAAGCTAAGCCACCTAGTGACTTTCAATGTGACGTCGAGGAACAATACAAAGAAAGTCCTGGGAGCGGCACCATTTAGAGATCACGGAAATTGCATGGATTCCTTTCTGCGGCAAATGCAAGGACAGCACTTATCACAACGTGGGCGACATTTTAAGTGTTCAATTAAATGCAATTCTTAAAACACAGCCATCTTTAGCAAAACACGGAAACTAGCTAGACTAATATATTACAAAAATTAACAGTGGATGTTTTTCTGTTATGAGATTAAACATAGATTAATTTCTAACGGACTGAACAATATGCTGAACCAAATCCATTAGCTCAGAAAAAAAGATTAAGCCGGGGGTGATAGTGCATACCTGTCATCTCAGAACATGGAGGCAGGAGGATTAAAATAATGCCGGCAGTTCCCTTATCTTAATTTTTGTACAACAACAATAATGCTATTATTGCTTCAGCTTCGTCCTTGGCTACAGCCAAGGCCCTGTCTCGGGAGAGTGAAAACGTGAAGGGGAACCCTGGCTTGTGCTTGTGCCGCTGTTGTGAGAGGACCTGGCAAGCAGGATCCACACCCGAGTCTTCTGCTACACGTTCACACCTTCGTTTCTGAGAACGGAGGTAGTGCTTCACCTCATGTGTGTTCTACTCTCTGTGTGCCTGACACAGGAAGCTCATCCGATTTCATGCGTTCGACAGACCGAAGTCCTGAGGCAGAAACTGGTTTGGTTGGGGAAAAGCAGGTAATGGAACCTACCCTAAATGGTTTTCACAAATGTGAAGGGGACAAGAATGGCTTGGCCCCTGCCACTACCAGTGTGTCTTCTCATTCAGGCGTGAAAACAGTCTCTTCCAACGTTTGTTCACCTTGAGTGTGGAGGAGGAGCCCATCTTCTCTGCCTCTCGCAGCATTGTAGACATGGGCACCTGGAGTGCACTGAACTCAAGAGGCCACATCGCCGCCATGTCTGAGACTCCACTGAGCATCAAGATGTTCTTGGTGCTGCTGCTGGCTTAATGGATCTCTTCTAAAAGTATGTATAAAGGTTTTCTAAATGTCCTCTTTTCAAAGGGCCCAGAAGGAGGAAAGGAAAAGAGAGGTTGAAATAAGCATCATTTTGTCTTTATAACTGTGTGGGCATAAAAATCCCCTTGAAAGGGTGGCTGAGAGCCTGGACCCTGACAGTTTCTCTCAAGTGCTTGTGCTATGTTAGTAAAACTAGGATCAAGAAGGAGTTTATGGCTCCCTTTCTGGTTCAGGCTCCCAGCTGCTTGGGCCACTGTCTACATCCATTTCCCACACGCTTTCAAACTCAGTTTTCTAGTATTACTGAAACCTGTATACATATCAGTTTAGATTACTATAAGGGACTCACCCGGATTAATGTAGAAGACAACTTTACTAATGCATTTTTACTTCCTTTGCTTTACATAGAAGTCCTATAGGAAACAGTCACGCTGGGCTGACTCCCCATTCTCTGATGAGAGTATCTGGACCCATTTGTAGAATGACATACTCATTCTGTACAAACAACGCAGGCATATTCTTTCCCCTCATATTGTCTTTAGTCCTGTAAGTGATGAATGGCAATACTCAGGGAAGGATCTAATGGGGTTGTAAGCATGTTTCCTACAGAATGTTTCTTCAATAAAGTAGGACTCTGTTGCCTTCTAAACAAACAGTGACCCAGTCAACTCATCCATCTTCCAGGCCCAAACCCAAAGTTAATTGATGACTTTTCTTACAGGCAATGAAGTGCAAAGATCCACTAAGCCCGGCTATGTTGGGTATCAGTTTTTCCTCTCGCCTCCCAAAGCATCCTTCAATAAACGCCCTTTGATAAACGACGCTGTTCTTAGCATTTCTCCTCTGCGATAGTAACATGTTAATCTTCTGTGACAACAGGCACAGCAGCTATTACAGGATAGAAGAGGAAGAATTTTGTTTTTTAAACCTTCCAGCATAGGCAAGACAGGGAGAATCAGGGAAGGCAGTCTGGGTCACAAGCCCAGAACAGGCGCTGCAAACATGCAACTTCCACCTTCGAAATCTTTCTAAAAATTTATAGCCAACTTTTCCATTCACTCCACCACTGAAAGAGGTGGCCTCTGTGAACCAAATGGCAGACTAATATTACATTAGTTTTTCATGGTGTAAAAGCTACAGGCAGGGCCCACCTGAGCTTTGTCTGCCCTGTTAACATGTTTTCCACCACTGCCTCAAATTTAGACAATCTACAAAGTGACTGACTAGGAAATTAAGGTTTGGTCTGCTGTGTTTGCCAATTTTGCCAATATTGGTGTAAATAAATACTGTTGTGATGTTGAATTCAACTTCTACAGAATCTGAATACTTATCTTCCCTAACCTAAGTAGATTTCTCATTTGATGGGTCCAACATGGTTCTCGGCTTGAAGAGTGGGGAATAGACTGTAGATTTGTACAAATGAATTAGTGAAAAGTTTAAGTTATAGGCTTTCCTTTTCAAATTCTAGAGATGGGTAAGATACACATGGATGAAGGAGAAAGAGAAAGGAAGATGGAGACAAGATGGAGCAAAGGCAGGCGGAGGAGCAGGAGAGGAGAAGGAGGAGAAGAAGGAGAAGGAGGTGGAGGGGGAGGAAGAAAGAGGAGGACGAGCAGGAAGCGGAGGAATAAGTACGAGGAGCGGAAGCAGGATGGGGAGGAGACTACTTTTCACCAACCGTTAGTGCTTTGACTAGGAGAGGGCACCAGAGAAGAATTTTACAGTAGCATCGCATTTTGTGCTTTCAAAACCTCATCAGATATGAATTTAGTCTCATTTTATAAAGACACAAAGAGTAAAAAAATAAAAAATAAAAAAAATGTAAAAAAGACAAAATGTCTAAAGAGTTTCTTTTCCTTGTGTTCTGGGAAGGTGTTTGGAAGAGCAGGATAAAATGAAAACCAGTCAGGTCAACTGGCATGGAGAACTGATTCTCCTTCCTGCTTGTTGGAGACTCCATTTTTCCAGCCTAGCTGGTTAAGCCTTCTGGAAACTCAGCCAGAAAAGCTGCCCTGCTCAAGAGACAAAGACTACACACTTTTTCCTTCTGTATGCAGCACTGGATCAGGCTGATTCCCCAGCCTAAAAACAATATTCACAAAACTCATCAAGAATTGAGATTTGTCTTTTAAAGATATTTCCACAACTGGGCAGTGGTGGCGCACGCCTTTAGTCCCAGCATTCGGGAGTCAGAAACAGGTGGATCTCTGTGAGTTTGAGGCCAGCCAGGTCTATAGAGCAAGTTCCAGGACAGCTTGGAGCTGTTAATACTGAGGAACCCTGTCTCAAGAGAAAAAAAAAACTATTTTCACTTAATATTATAGGTTCTATAGTAGACAGACACCCCCTTTTGCCTTTTTATATGTATTGTTGAGTAGGTGAAAGGTCACCCGCAAGGCAGTTTCTAGGAGGGGTAGAAAGGTAATTATCTCTATGTAGCATTCACAAGGGAAACTCTCCCTTTTAAGGGAAGTCTTCAAGGGAAAAGGATGGTGTTACATGAGCAATATACCTGTGTGTTCACTTGATTCTTATCCTAACGTTCCCCAGTGGTCTGCCTTCCCTATACCACATGAGTTCTCTAGCATCACTGTCCACACTGTAAGTAGAACTCAGACTACATATTAGACCTCAACTGGCCATTTTCTTACTCTTTCTTTCCATTTCACCTAGAATGAAATGACCAGCAGCTCGGTGTCATTACAGAAAGTACGCTTGTAATGGAGAGAGAGCAGAGCTGGGCACCTAGGAAGCTATTCCAATAGTCCTTGAAAGCCATGACACAGACCTGATCCCAGGGCTGCAGTGGTGGCTGGGTCGGAGTCCCAGCCCAGAAAGGTCACAGTTGAAGTCAAATGTGTCTATTCAACCAACTAAAGGAACCCTGTCTGGCAGGGGAAAAAAAAATCAATAAAACACCATATACAAAGCCCAGAAGAGTTCTGTTAACAAACTTATCTCCCCTTCTGTCCCAGTGATATCAAGAAACACAGTTCCACTTTTCCTCACACAGCCATATACTCACTCTGTCAGGAGCCAGAAGCCTTGAACCGTCTCTCCAGAGGTTTGTGTGATGTGTCCCCTCAGGTCTTCCACGGCAGTCTCAATGGCCCCTGGCTGAGGGGGAGAAGAAAGCATTTCCCTTAGAGAAGACTGAACACACTCTGTTTTCGATTAGTTAGAATGGCCAGCACCTCATCCTCCTCCCCTTCCTCCTCCTCCAGGAGACTAAGCCTGGCTCTTGCATTTGCATACTCTGTTTCACTGTGTGGCAGAGAACTTGGTCTTGAACACTGTGTCTAACTGCTAGCTCTATGGAGTGGGCCAAAAGTGTTCCTGGGCTTATCTTCTCAAATCCTATGTTATCACATTGAAATGAAAACAGCCATTTTTAGAATACTTCTTCCAGAGAAATAAGTTTATCAGGAAGTTCAAAGCAGTTAACAATATATGTATTTTTTTAAAAAAAAAAAAAACAGCTTCCCAGGTTTCAAGAGCACTTGTTGGTAAAACACAAAACATAGCTCCCTGCCAATGTTCTAACCATCAGTGTGACAGACTCTGCAGCTCAGCTCTCTCGCCTCAGGTTTTAACATTCACAGAGTAAGTGTTCCCACGTCTGGGCCTGGTTCTATGAGGAAAGAGATTGACACCTGTCCTAGTAATTCATACTTCCCTAGTGTAATGATTCTTTAACATCTGTGGACATCAGAACCATGCTGAAACATTTCTAGGACTGTAGTTGGAGGTTTCTTTCCCACCCACCAATCCCCAAATAACCACTCAGAGCCTTAATATTAATTATAAATGCTTGGACAATAGCTCAGGCTTGCTACTAGCTAACTCTTACACTTAGATTAACCCTTATTTCTTACCTATGTTTTGCCATATGCCTCATGGTTTGTTATCTCTTTTTCTACACATCCTGTTTCCTCGGCAACTGACTGGTGACTCCTGACTCTGCCCTTCTTCCTCCCTGTCTTCTCAGTTTGATTGTCTCACCTAATTTTTTCCTGCCTTGCTATAGGTCAATCAGATTCTCTATTAACCAATGAGAGAAATACATATTCGTGGTGTCCAGAGGGTTATTCCACAGCAGAGGATCATCCCCACTTTCATATCCTACTAGCTTGAGTTGGTACTTGTATTTCTAACACATGTCCAGGTGACATTGTTGGTATGAACATGGTACTTGTAACACCCAATTGCTCTTTAAGCAATTATTCTCAGTGCTTGACTATATACCAGAATCATTCTGGAGCCTAAAAAAAAAAAAATCCTAACCTGGGAGACATATTAGGCTACCTATCTTAGGAACTTAGTGGATAGGTACATAAGTACTTCAGGAATTTGTAAGAATGCATACTATCTTATAGGAGAATCGAAACAAGGAAAGGGTACCGGTGCTTCAGATGAGGCATGTGTGAGCGGTGCAGAGTTTGAGCTAGCTAGTTACTTTATCCACACACCAGCTCCTTGGTTCCTTCTGTACAGCCCACGTCACCCACAAAAGGATGCTATAATACCTGAAGTGAGGTGAGTGACAAGATTTGTCCTGAATCAGCTTTACAACGTGATCTCACTACTTGACTTTTTGGCTGCTGAACTGAACAAAACCTCGGAGCCACACTGATGACCATAAGCTCTATGGATCTTCAAGAAAATGTGATCATAGCTTTTATAACCAAAGATCCTGGCTCCATCATTATACTGGGTTTCATCTTGAGCTGGAGAGCCAACTACCACACTGAAAGATTTTTCTCTGTGTGTCATTGTCTGCAGCTGGCTTAAGGCTGGCCAGGAAGCTAATATTGGCACTTCCTGCTGGCTGAAGGCCATGTGCCATAAAATCAGGAACTTCTGGGGTTTCAGTCGATATACCTACCACTGCCGCCCGAGAAGCTAATACTGAGGCCACTCATTTCCAGGAACCCTGCAGGCACTCAGGCTAACCTGAAGGGAGTTCCCTATAGCCTCCTGGTAGTTCTCCCTTTGCCCAATCTTACATTCCTCTGAGGCATTCCGATTCTTCCGGGGCCCACTTTCCAAAGTCTTCCGAAATACAATGCTCTGATTTGTGACTCAGTGGTGGTATTTTCTCATACATTCTTTACATAATTTTAGCCTCACAAATATAACTTGGTAATAGAACCAATACTTTTCAGAAAAAAAAACAGTAAGTAGAATTGGAGAGTAATTAAATAACCCTAAAATAAGCATTTTGTTGAATGTTTTTATGTCATACAATTCACTGAAAATATGTGAGATGAATATAATACTGTATGAACCTTTAAAACCTTACTATCTTCCATACCAAAAGCAATTTCCAAATGCATAAAAATGAAGCATGGTCTGCATTTGATCCAAGTATATCTCTATGAAATTATGCTTCAGAAATTCTTGCACTTGTTCAAAATGGCATGAATGAAGAACTCTTTGCAGCCTTGTTTGCAGACAGCAATAAACGAGGAGCAACATGCAAACACTGATCTAGAGGGTATTATAGAATCTGTTCAGATAATACAGTATAGCTAAGGTATAGAAGCACAAAGTATATTGATAAAAAAGTAAAACAGGAGAGGGTAAGGTAGGCTGCCTTCCTTATGCAGAAATATGTGGAGTAATTACGTTCCTGTTGGCTGACACACAGCTAAAGTAAGCATAAAGAGGTCTATAAAACATATCAATGATGGTTTCCTTAGGATGGCAAAGCAGGAGATGGAAATTGACCATGGAAGTGATGCTTTCCTGTTTACCTTTTCAAAAGCTAACCCCTGAAGTGTGTTATCTATGGAAAGCTGTGATGCCCTCGACAGCTCTGTCATTGCACCATTCTTTGTTCTCAGTGTGAGCTCTGCTCGGGTCCCTTCTCTAGACTACAGAACACAATGTAGCCCGACACAGGAATGTGCTCCCTTTACTTTTATTATTGCTAATTAATACTTTTTACTTAATAAATTTAAATCTAATAATTTAGGATAAAAAATTTAAGGCACTTTGTGTCTTGGATATCAAGGTTTGGTCTCAGTTATCCTTATGGCTCTCTGGAATCCACGGGAAGTTACATGGTGTTCCTTATTAGTTTCTGAATTTGGTAGATTGTTGGGATAATGATTACTGTAACTGAGCTACTGGGAGATCCCATGGGACCCTGTACCTTAAACAGTAACAAACACTAAATAATGAAAGGCTTGACCATCATTTTCATTATTGCTTATGATAAAGAAAAGGGAAAAATCATACCAAGATTCAAGGACCAAATGCTTAATGCAAGTAAGCACTTAGTTCTGAGACTGCAGTCTAAGACAAATAGGAAACTATGATCAAATGCACCATCTTACAAAACACAGTAACTCTACTGTCTCTTACATTCTAGCCCTGTGAGGTTACAGGCAAGGCAAACCTTCTGGGGGAATTGCAAAGACTTGCATATCCATTTCCATGCATTTCCACAATCGAGGCCAGCCCAGGGTCAACGCTGACCCAAACAATACCCTCGACTTTGTCAGTGTTTTCATATTAGGCTCCTTGTGTGCAGAAAAAAAAAGTGGTGGCTCAGAAAACAGAGTCTCTATTCTGTCTCTCACATTTCTTTTGTGGCTCTGATGATGGCTAAACAGAGGCCATTTTGCAACAAACACATAAGTAAGAGCATTAGCTCAATTGGCCATGATCTGTAAAGGAAAAGAAAGTTTGTATTTTTTTTTTGAAAAAAAAAATATGAGAATTCACCTTGTCGCATCATTGCTGGGGTTCTGCTTTCACAAAAGAACAAATCATCTTTATGACCCTCCTCAAGGAGTTTCACACAATGGAAGCTGAACAACCTCTTGCCCAGTGAGCTGTTTATTTTCTCAACTAAATGGAAGTTCACACAGGCAATAATAATAAAACTAATAAATGTATTTGTTCCCAATGTGAGGGCAAGTCACCGGGAACCCTCTAGCAAGAGGAGAGGGAAAGAGAGAGAGAGTATGAAAGCCAAATTAGTGTCATGGAAGCAATGGCATCTCACTACACAATGGGAAGTCCTGAACCTGCTTATTAAAGTCTCGCTGCTCACAATAGAACATGGGCTATAAAAAGGCCATGGGGAACCATTAATTAAATATTAAAAGATCAAATAGTTTTAGTCCCATTAGTTTGTATGTAATTTACATTCTCTAGTATAAATTTAGAGATAATTCTCCATCTCGAATCGCTTTCAACTTTCTGATAAGGTATCTGCAAATACAGAGCCCCACAGGGAGTTTAAAAATATCTTTCTCCATGTGGGCTAAGCATTGTTCTTTTCATAAAAAAGTTGCTTTTGAACATCAGTCTTCACAACCAAGATGATTATCATAATATACCTCAAGTTATTAGCTTTGAGGGATACTTTTGTTCGGAGAAGGCATGAGGCCTTTTTTTAGATATATCTAAGCAATAATAGCAGACACATTACAACAAGAGAAAAGGAATGCAAATGGACTGAGAGTGAGGGTTTTAAACTTTCACTTCTGGGACCTCCTAAGGTCCTCCTCTTGTCCTAAGGTCATATGTAGTCCAGAGACAGTGTCAGGAGTCCTGCATTGCACATATGGTTCCCAGACATGGCATGATCCTAGGGATGCTGATTGACTTTGGACAAGAAATAATTCATTCAGGTACTTTAGAAGTTATCTTAAACAAAGCCATAGAGGCATAATTTTCACATATAATAATAATGGCCAGCTAACCGCAGTAGGGTTTTAAGAGGTTAATAACTTATCTTATGATCTAATACTTAGGTGTGTGGTATAACGTCTGATATTACTATGCCAAAGTGAACACTTATTTGTCAAGAATTCCTATATCTATGCCATTTATTTCTTTGCAAATCCATCTTAAAACTCATAGATTTGATCATTCTCCTCCTTATATCCTTGTATGTCAATTCCCAGCACCCGACAAACAGAAAGCCAATGAATACCTTTCTTCCTTAGATCAATGATATGAATAGAAAATAGTCTAAATATTGAGTTTAAAATTAAACACATTGCAGTATATATTCCCAATATGGGATTCTATGGAACTGATTTTAAAAAATGATATCACAAAAATATTGTGGCCATATGAAATATTTAGCATATAACTCTAATTGCACAAAAAAATATATGAAAAGCAAAAAAGATCCACCCTAAAATGTATAAGATCACATGCAATAGATTGTTTATTTAGTACTGAACAGTGAGATTACAGTGACTTTTATTTAGCCTATCTATATTTTCTAATCTTTTATCAATAAATGACTTCTTGGGTTATGATCCTAAAGTCCTTTAATAAGATACTTCAGCAACAATTGTTTTGACTCATTCATTCAGTGTTCTTCCTAATTTGCCGTGCATATACCTTAAATTCTTAGCTCGGCAGAAGTTGACTTCACTGTGACTGTGAGAGAGAACCACGGGACTACACATCGGTAGCCCGGAAAGTGGTTCTAACCCTCAGTTTGCTGCTCAGTAGATTCTTGGGAAAGGAAAGTCTCACTCCCTATTGTGTTGCTGGAAATGAGTCACTTAAGCAGCAGGAGCACATCAGTACTGGCAGAAAGTTTACAGAAACGCAGAATCTAATTTGTTCACCAGCTGGACCGTGGCATCTGAGATCTCACTTCAGATCTGGGAAGTCATCACTTTCTGATAACTCTCACACGTCTGAAACTTCAAGCATCGTGGTCTTCCCTAATTATTCCTTGAGAAAGCCAGCCATCCTCCTCTTTCCTGCTACACACCCTTACGTCAACATTTATATCTCACCCCAGAGATGATGACGAGGTCACAGGCACCCTGCTGCCATTTCTATAACCATTTATAGAATTGGGGACGCAAGCAAAAATAAGAGAGGAGAGGTACTGAAAATAACAATGTTTGAAATGTTTATAGATGTGTCGTATACTCTATGAATATTGACAAAGTTCACTTAGGGCTCTTTCCAAAACTTGTGTTTTATCTATACTTCTCAGGTAAAGAAATTGAGACTCAAACATATGTGCATGCATACATGTGCATGTACACACAAACACACACACACCCTCACACTTCTGCCTTCTTAATCAAAACATCTTGGATTTGATTTGCAAGCTAGCAAAACTAGACCATTCTCTCATTTATTTTAAAAAATAAATGTGTATTGGGATAATGTTCATCCCAGAATATAAAGGTAATCAGACAAAAATCCCTGTGCTAAGTATGGGATATTTCCTACTGAGATTTTGGTTACGGATTTTCCAGAGCTCCACAAATCAAGAAAGGTCATTACTCTTGGTCAACCACAAGAACTTAATGGTAAGATCCTGTTTATTGCTAAAAACATCACTTTGGTCATTTTACTTGGAGAAACCAAGCTCATACTGACCTTGAAACGTCTTCCCTGTTGGGTAGCTTTTAAGAAACTGGGAGGTACTTTGTAGATTAATAAGGGAGTTGATCCATCAACAGTCTTTCACAGCTGTGAACCCTGTGAGCTACAGTAATGACTAGTCTATGCAGTGGGGACAACAGTCGTTGGCTGTCATGGGACAGCCAGCAGCTTCTCAGTTGAATTTAAGACCTGCTTAACAGAAGGAAATCATGTCCATAAACATGGCTAAGAATTCATGGGTGGGGAGGCTAAAGGCCCCACTAATCTTACTTTGTGAAAGGGACATAGCACCAAGTATCTCCTGAATATTTATCTTTGTACTAAGAAAGTAGTACAACCCTCACCCCTCATTTAGACAGATTTTTTTAACGCAATATGTGGTGATCATCTAGGAAGAGCAGTGGACATTGAAGTTCTTGAATTTAGGTGCTTCCATTCACCTGAAACTTGCTCACTCTTAAAAACGAGATTGATTTATTTTTATATCTCACACATGAGTAGTTTGCTTGCATGTGTGCGAATGCAGCATGTGAATGCCTGCTGCTTGTAGAAGCCAGAGGAAGGCATGAGATTCCCCCTGAAACTGGGGTTACAGATGGTTGTGAGCCACCATGGGGGTGCTGGGAACCAGACCTGATCTTCTGCAAGAACAATAAGTGATTTTGACTACCAAATCATCTCTCCAGCCTCCTATATGTTTATTCTTAAGACGAAGATGGCTTGTTTTCTCCTGCCTGCCCCACAGGATTGTATAAAGCCACATGGTTTGTTTGTTTGTTTTAAGAAACTGTAAATATCTAATGACATTTATTACATATTCATCCATTTAGTATGGGTCCGTGTCAGCTCATCTAAATAAGAACTACATGATTTAGCTTTGCTTTCCCTGTTTGCTTCCAAATGGGAGTTAGCTGCAGAGACATCCATATTAATTTCGAAAGGCTGACATGAAACCAGTTGTTTTATTTGCTGAAGATCAATTCAGGTCACCATGCACTACAGCACGGTCAAGGAAATTATTGCCCTGACTCATTTGCTGGCAAGCCGCAGCATTAATACCAACATTTCCTTCCATTACGTCCTCCCTAAGATTCTCCTCTCCCTGATGCATTGGCAAAGGCATAGCTTCTAACCGTGACTTGCCATTAAGATTACAGTTGGTGGCAGAGGTCAGTTTTCCCCCATGGGCTCTACTTGACCAAGAAGAATTTTGCCATGAAGATATTCCCTGTTCCTACTCTAAACAACCAACTGCCCTACCTACGCCAGCTTCAGGACTTCCATCACAAGCAAAGAAAGGAGCTGTGCATAGGTTTTCTGCCTGCTTTCATAGCTACACCAGCTTCCATCCCTGGCCCCTATTCTGCACCACTGTTCTGTATTTTCTCAGCAAACGCTGTCATCATCCTTATCAAGTTCCCAAAACTCCAAAGGATGCTTACATTTCCTTCGCAGTTCCATCTCAACTTAACTTTGCATATTCAATAAAGTTCACATATTTTGGAAAACAGACCATATGCTTGACATATGCAAAAAACACTCACATAAACACAGATAACATAGCACCTACCAAAGTGCCTTGCACATAGGAGTCTACGTAATGTTTAAATACACACATATGGGTTCACACTCACACATTCAGTTGCTTTAGTTAGAACTTCATCTTAAACAAAGGTATATATCATTAAAGTCACCAAATCAGGATCTGTTAAGTTTTGTAAATAGTCTCAGATTCTTGACTTCCAATTACTTATGATATTGGACTGAAAACTGTATTTTGAAGGGTCAGAGAGATGGCCAATCAGATAAAAGTACTTTGTTACACAAATCAAAGAACCTGAGTGGGATCTCCAGAAACCACACAAAAATCTCAGCATTGGGGGACACATGAGTAAGTCCAGCACTTCTGTTGGGAGGTGGGAGGTGGAGACAAGACAATTGGCCAGAAGCCTTCATGCTTGCTGGCTTGGAGTAGGCACCAGAGTAGAGGTGAACTCCACAAGAAAGAACTTGTCTCAAAGTAGAAAGCCAGAATCGACTTCCAAAAGCTGTCTTCTGCCCTGTATACAACACTCCCACACAAAAGAAAGAAAAAGGGAAGGAAGGAAGGAAGGAAGGAAGGAAGGAAGGAAGGAAGGAAGGAAGGAAGGAAAGAAAAGAAGGGGGTTATTTTTCAAGAAAAAGGTGTCCCATGTATTCATGAGAACTCTATTTGCTGTCATAGTTCACATTCCCCTATTTCCCTCCCATAAATTATGGCTAGAGCATTTATAAGAACTTTGAAGAATTGCAAAATATCAGTAAGTACAAAAAAATGAAAACACAAAGAGATAAAAAAAAATATCCAGGAATTACGTTCTACTTTATCTCTGCCAGCAACTTAATAGCAGCCTTTTATACTCAGTACATAAGCCTTATCCTCATCCATTTCCTTTTCTTGTCCATTGCTCAAGTGAGAACTCAGAGCCCCATGCTACTGTTGCAAACTAAGGGTTTCAAGCTCTTCCTCCCATGATACAACACCAGCATCCTAGCATCCCAGCATCCCAGCATCCACCCTGAGATTCAGCTCAGTCTCAGCACCATTTTCCACTTCACAGTCTGTCTTTTTTTAAACAAAGTTCACAGCTTTACATTCTAGCTACCATGTTAGAGATTCTCTAGTCATTAAACATTAATTCTTTGGGGTCAAAGTTTGCCTTGGAGGAGGACCATACACACAAATATATAGAGGTTACAGGAATCGTATCTCCTTGAGGTTCTCTAAGAGATAAAAACCAGAGACTTGGCTTGCTGAAGCTACACCCCTCAGCAGTACAGTGGAGGTAAGGACAACTACATGAACATTATAGCCATTATTACAAAAGGTTTATAAAAATGTGTAAAACTTGGGCACAATGGAGTACAGAAAAGATTGTAAGATTTCAAAAGAAAAAATTGGAGAGCATTTAAAATCGCGGTTTTACCCGGGTAGCAAAGTACTTTCGTGAAGCATAGGGCTGGTGATACGGATTGGGGTAAAGCGTCGACTTAGTCACGCTCGGCTGTCTTGAGATCCGCCTTTGTCCTGGTTTCTTGCCCGAGTCCCCCTCGTCCATGGCCAAGCGGTCAGTCTCAGAAGGTTGGTCATCTCCCTCTTGCTTCAGGGACACTGGCTGGAATCCTTCAAAGCTCCCAATCGTTGACATTTCTTTAGCCTAAAACAAGCAAACAGAAAGAAACAACCCTTTCATTAGAGGACAAAGCATGCTGTCTGTACCCAGGCTGTGGAAAAAAAGAGGTTATAACCGAAGAACTGCAGCAAAAGATCTTCCCTAATGGGAAACAGCCACACTTTGATCAAACAGAGGCACCTGTGGATAGGGCAAGGAGCACAGGCGTCTAAATGTCATCTGTGTGCAGGGCCTTCACCAGAGGAGAGAAGCGGGAACTCTCGGGACAGAGAAAGGAGACTGAGAGTCACTCTGTTCCCTTACCTTCAACACAAGAACAAGAACAGAACAAGGGAAATGTACCATGAGATTACTCCAAGGTAATTCCTTTTCGCGATTTTCTGACATTTTTGTCTAAAACTCTACCTGGCCTTGTTTATATTTAAGAGTGAAAAGCAATGACAATGTAGCTCTGATCAGCTCCAGGGTTTGGTGTGAGGACATGTGGTAGTCTAAATAAGAGTGACCCCAATAGCCTCATATATTTGAATGTTTAGTTATCATGGAGTGGTGTTACCTGAAAAGAATAAAGAGGTGTGGCCTTGTTGGAATAGGCGTGGCTTTGTTGAAGGAAGTGTGTCACTAGGGATTGGGCTTTGAGATTCAAAAAGCCCAATCCAGGCTCAGTGTCTCTCTCTCTTCCTGCTGCCTGTGGAGCTGCAAGCAAACCCCAGTTAAAGGGCTCCTTTTATAAGAGCTGCAGTGACCATGGTGTCTCTTCATAGCAACGGAACACTGGCTAAGAGAGGACAACCAGAACGGGCATATTTTCAAATCAAACGTCCCAGTTCTAAAAATTTATTTTAAGGAAATAGTTTGGAAAAAATTCCAAACACACACACACACACAAAATCCCATGTATTCCATGTCCATAAGTTCTCTCATCACATCATTATTGTAGGATAACAGGTCTGAGTTTCTGATTTGAAAACCCACCAATCCCTGGGTTTATCCCAACCTTAGGACCTGAAATCCCACCAATTCCCACCCTGGGATGCTTTGCCCCCAAGAAACACTATAAAAGTCTGCCTCTTGCTCAGTTCTTCTGCTCCTAACCCAAGCAGAGGTAGCCCCCTCTAACTCTTTCCCAATAAACCTCTTGTTTGAGGCTTAATGTGCAGGGTGATTTTGTGATATTCCTTGGTTCCTGGCTGCCAGGATACCTTTCCCTTCAGAGCTGTAACACTTACAATTATGGCTAGTAGAGAAATACTGTTTATGATAATAGTAACATTAAGCATTCACACAACCTTGCATTTAATAGCAAATAACTAAAATAAAACTAAGTATTTACTAGCAGAGAATTGGCCAAATGAAACATATGCCTTAGAGTCAAACACAATGCAGCTCTTAAAATATGAAGTATACTTTATCATAGTAAGATATCCAAAATATATTTTATAGAAAAAGAAAGTTATATGAATCGTAATGTTCAATTGTCTTAAAAACCAATCATAGAGAAAGGAAGAAACTATCACACATGTATTTGCAAATGCATGTACATATATGGATAGTCAATATTTGAAACTGAAAAAAAATCAAATGTTAAAAGTTGTTCTCTTTTCATGATGATGTTATCTGCACCTCTCTCATTTTCTGTCTTTCTGGGTACTAACAAAATAATCATTTAATATTTAAGTAAAAATGATAAATTGATTCCTATTTATAAAGTTTTTTTTTTAAAAAAATAAAATAGTAAAAATAGAAGGAATATGTAGGCCCAATATGAAGTCCGCCTGATCTAGCATTCTGTTTCCTAGCAGAGCAAAGAAGCTACATAAGGACATTGCCTGTACCTAAGCTAAGTACTTTGTCCAGTTGTCCAATAGTCTTTCCAGGAGGCCAGCTACTAATGTGTCTTGGAAGCAGGCCCCGTGTCTAGCTCACCATTAGGAATGACGTCTTATTCTCAGAGCTGCCTTTATGTCCTTAATCAAATAAAAGGTGGCTCTAATTCCCTTTCCTCGGTTCTTGTGAAATGCCAGAAAGTGGGGGGAGGCCTAGTTTGCCAGCATATTTTCACCCTTAAAACTGAGACAAACTAGAACATTCAAGAGATGTAAAAATAGCAGGAACCCACAGCGTCTTCCAGCCCTTTCCTCCTAATTGAAACATTGTCTGAGGGAGGGAGGGAGGAGAGATGCTCACAGGGCTTCCAAGGCTGGGGAAGCTCAGAAAGTTAAAAAGTCACAAGGCTCCTAGCCAAGGACTTAAAAGCAGTAACAACTGCTGGGAGAGGGGACTTTCCAGCCAGCCAAGCAAGCAGCAAGTTATGCTGCAAGCTGCGGGGGGTGGGTGGATGGGGGGGGGGTGGATAGTTTTCATCCTAGGGTGGGCGTTTATGATGCCACTACCTGTGAGCCAACCACGCTCCCATGAAGTGAAACCTCGCCTATGCTACCGTAATTTCAATAAAGTCCACTAAGGTAGACTTGGATGGAATCATTTCTTTGGTCGGCCGTCGGAGCCCTATTGGAGGTCAATGGACTTTGATTACACCTCTCCACTTGAAGTGGTGTGAGGGCGTTGTCTAACTCTAAGTACTTCAGCATAAGAAGGTGCTATTAGCGCTTGTGACAGGATGGTAGGAGTAAACAGAGCTGTCACCGGAAGCTGTGGATGTCACTCTGAGGAGGCTGAACTCAGTAGAAAATACAGTTGGTGAAACTCCTGGATTACCGTATGCAGATCACTTGCCATTTTCTCTCAACTGACCTTCACAACCCTGGCCATTTTGGTTCCTCCACACCAACCCTTCTGAGGATGCAGAGTAGGGAGGCACCATCTAAGGCATACTTGGCAGTTCTGCTGGCTTGCCTTTGAGTCCAGCCTGCCCACCATAATGTCAAGGTTCCTGCTAACGGGAAGGCCTTCCTTGAATATCCAGGTAATGTTATAAAGGCAGGTTCCCAAAGGCTGAAACTGACCTTTATTGTGAGAATAGAAGGTACGGTGTGGGGGGGACAGAGAGACAGAGAGACAGGACAGGCAGAAAGAGAAAGAGACACACAGAGAGAGGCACTGTGGCCTTGCTAGCAGCTCTGTGCTCTGTCTATGCCGGTTGGTCATCTCCTTTACAGTGGGTGTTGGAAGGAAATGCATTTCCAAAGTTCCCATGAAGGAAGGTTTGTGTCACTGGGAAGGGAAGCCTGCTTCTGTATTTGCGCACTCTGTGAATGCACGCCTAACAACAGACATCTGCTGGAGGCTCCCGTGCCTGGAAAACAGAGGGAGGATTTAATTAGCACCACTTCCTCTCCCTCAGGCTGTCTTCTCTGGAAACACTTGGGGAAGGCAGCGCTCAGAGTTGGAACTGTCTGAGCTCCAGGAACTGAGGAATCTCTCAGCCCCATTTGCATTCTTAAAGCCATAAACCTTGGAACGTTGAGCTAGGCTTCCTGCTGAGAATTGGGAGGTTCCGCGACCACCCTGAGGGCGTCTCCAAGGACTGGGAATGAAATTCTTTGGCAGCTTCTCCACTCCAGCTAGAGGGGGCCAGGTACTTATATAAGCATCCCCATTCCATTTGGTTCCTGAGCCCTTAGCCCCTAGAACTGCCAAGTGAATAGAGTGCCCTCTCCTCTCTGCTTAGAAACTTTGTATGTACTGAAACACTAAAAGGACTTAAATCAATACCAATAACAAATACAGCCTCAATCAAATGACCCATTGCTTCTGCTGTGCAATTTTGCCTGGCGACAGACCTATTGAGAGCCACTTAGAACGGGAGAGGATCATAGTTCCAGTAGATACCCTAATAAATTGATCTCAGCCTTTAGTTCTTGAGTTAAAGCACTACAGTACTGTAGGGAGCTAAACACTCGGGGCTTGGAAAAAACATCATGAGGCCACTGTTGGCCAAGTCTTTTCATTCTGGAGAATTTGTGTAGTGGAGATCACCTAAGAATGAAAGGCTTATAATATCACTTGCTGATTCTTGGTGGAACTACCTGAACACTGAACATCTAATTGGCAAAGACTCCTATGTACATCCAACGGATATGGGGCAGACATTAAAAATATCATCCAGAAAGCTGGGGCAGCAACATGAGAAGATAGAACACAAGCTGTTGAGTTAAAAATAATAATAATAATAACAAAAAAAACCCCAAATAAACCAAAAAATGCAAAGCAGCAATTGGCATTTGAATAAAGACGATTCCAAATCTCTGAAGTAGCAAGATTAGGAGGGAATTTCTCCTTTACTTAAGATTCAGTAAAATAACCTTACCACTGCTTCTACAACTAAATGAATACATATAGGAACAAATACTAAACAATTTCCAAAAAAAAATGCTCCTTTCTTTTGGTTGGATAATAAAAGTTCTGAAACTCTCAGCTGTTAGAAAAATCGGAGCTAATGTCACATATATATGTGTGTGCATGTATGTATAAATATATATAATATGTAGATAAGTTGCTTTCAAATCTTTTTCTAAGTATAACTGTGTCTATACAAGACTTCAATTATCTCTCTAAAGCTTTATCTAGTATTTCAGGATCGTGTAGGGCATAGATTATGAGTAGAGGATTACCATCTGATCCTACTCCTTCATTGTAAACACTGGCACAGAACTGCTGAGATAAGAGACCTGATCAAGGTCATGCAGCTTCTGGAATCAGAACAGGAAGTCAAGGCCCTCACCTTCCATGACCCTCATCTTCCGCAGCCTTCCACAGCCCTCATCTTCTATGACTCTTATCTTCCACAGTCCACGGCTTCCCCAGACCTCACCTTCCCCAATCTGCACCTTCCATGGCCCTCACCTTCCATGGTCCTCACCTCCCATGACCCTGATCTTCCATGACCCTCATCTTCCATGACCTTCACTTTCCATGACCCTCATCTTCCATGACCTTCACCTTCCATGACCCTCATCTTCCCCACCCATCACCTTCCATGGCCCTCACCTTTCATGGCCCTGATCTTCCATGACCCTCATCTTCCATGACCTTCACCTTCCATGACCCTCATCTTCCATGAC